GTGTGTGTGTGTGTGTGTGTGTGTGTGTGTGTGTGTGTGTGTGTGTGGATACATTTTGTGTAACGAAGGTCGTGTGGACTGAGATATTTTTTATATGGTCATGTGACAGTGTTTCTCTCCAGCATGTGATTGGCCTGTACCCGCTCGTCGTCTTCGGTCGGAGCCACACGTGTCGGCATTAATGAAAAGCTGTTGATGTGATTGTGTCTCTATGTAAGTGGCGTGTCGCGGCGCCCGGTCAGTTTCCTGGTGTCAGATGTGAGTGATGGTGATGAGAGCAGAGCGAGCTGACAGAGACGTGTCGTGCATCTCAACAGAGTCAGAGAAGAAACCTGCAGCGTCTCATCGCTGCTTCACACACTCGACTCTTTAATGACCAGCTGCCACTCATCTGAAGACAGGACACGCCCCTCACACTGAGATGACATCACTCAGAGTCCACAAATACCTCAATATTAATATTGACTTTATCCAAACTAGTGTGTGTGTGTGTGTGTGTTTTAACTCCCCTCTCTCTCTCTCTCTCTCTCCTCCTCAGCTGTGACCGGATGAACTTGTCTCTTCACTCCTTCATCGGTTCATCCCTCCACCCCCCCCTTCAGCCAGAGGATCTGATGAGAGGTCGGCAGAGAGCGGAGAGAGGAGAACACCTGTCATGGCCACTGGTGAGAATCAGTCTGGAAAACAAGACAGGCTAACACTTACATGTTAATGACGTGTGTGTGTGTGTGTGTGTGTGTGTGGGGCAGTGGACGGTGTAGGCACTCTGGCTGCGGAGCAGAACCACCTGAGCGTCACCGATCATGGAGCCTGGGCCACAGCCATGAACAACCTGGGCATCATGCCTGTGGGCATCAGTGGACAACCGCTGGTGTCAGGTACGATACAGTTTCTATAGATTTAATGATGCTCACTGTGACACACACACACACACACACACACACACACACACACACACACACACACACACGTGTTTAATAGTTAAGTAGTATAATTTACATTTGTGGCACAGTAATAAAAAGACAGCAGCAGTATCAGTGGTACTGTAAGTATGAGTATTATAAGTAGTAGTAGTAGTATTAGTATATTAGTAAGTAATATTAGTGGTGGTCAACTCGATCTGCGTTATGTGGTTGTCATAACAACCTCCGCTGGTCTGATCTCATTTGATGTGTGTGAATCACATGACTCATGTGTTTCCATGGAGTCTGAGGTGAACATAGAAACAGACGTGTGTGTGTGTGTGTGTGTGTGTGTGTGTGTGTGTGTGTGTGTGTGTGTGTGTGT